ATTAATTTATGTTTTAGGTACCAACAAATTATATAAAGTGCACTCTACCTCAACCTCCTTGTGTACACAAGGACTTCAATACTATCCTATGGGCTCTTGTTACATGGGACATCCAGTCAAACCGCCAATGTATTTTCCTGAAGCTTCCACTATAGTTGCCCCAAGCGCAAATCATACAAGAAAGCAGTACACAGCCTTACTTCTTGGTATTCTTAGGGAACGTGTAGAAGGAATCTCTCGTCAAACCCAGTACAATAATTACTTTTAATAAGTATCGTAAAGTAAAGTAAAATAGGAGTGAAATTAAAGTTGAAGTAAAATTAAAAGGCCTAAAATAAACATAATTATGTAGCTTTTCTTATTTTTAAATTGGACTAAATCGCTAGTAAACTTGTAAATTGCAAGTTAAAAATTTGTAACAAGATATAAAATTCACCCTGTGATATCTCAATTAAAGTTTATATTAAATAAAAGGTATATTTTAATAAAAATATAAATTATAGGGGTTAATTACCTTAGATGTAGTGTGGCCTTTATGTAAATATACTTTATAATTTCTTTAAAAATTATATATAACTCTGTTACAGTAGTAGATTGCAGAAGATTTTAAAATTAAATGCGCGATTTATCGATACGAAGCAGCGAGTTCGTTCATAAAAAAAATCATACCTTATTGAAAAAGTTTATAAAAAAACAAATTATAACTATTAAAATTGTTTTAAAAATAATCAAATTTACCAATTAAAACATTCGAAATAATGCCCAAAATAATGTTATCAGAGTATTGCTACATAATTAGATTTATTCAACATTGCAAGCCTGGTTGCCTACCTACAAAGAATAACAACAATTTTAAACCAAAGCGACAGATCTATTACCTATAATTAAAATAATTATTACAAATTAGAACTAATAAAATTCCAATATATAAACTAAAATGTTTGTTAAATTTAAATTTAAGACACTGTAACATTGTTGATGTTACAGTGTTTACTAAATAAGTCATAATGACAGCCCGCGCGAAGAGATTTTACTATTTTCTCGTCAGGTCTACTCTACTTTACGGACATAGTTGCTGAACCACACATTGAGCTTATAAGCTGCAGAATAGTTTATTGTCAAATTCTGAACCTTGTTAAAATAATGTCTGTGAAAACTCAAGCCATGAAGAAAATCGCAAAAGAGTTTGCTAGTTATATTTGAAAAAGAAGGCGCGCCGGCACATATGCGAAAAATTACTGGAGCTCTTCAGAACGCGGTTTAGGACATTTTTCCTTTTAATCATATGCAGTGCTTGCAAAACACTTATTTACCAAACAAAAAAGGATCCGAATTTTTCTGCTGTTCACATACCCAAATACTCTATAATTCCTTATTTACCAAAACATACAAGGAAATAGATCAAATAAAATGTCAGTGCAAATTATGCGAGTTCGTATAAACACGGGGACATCAGAATTTTATACAGAAAAATATCAGTGCCAAGAAAAAAGTTGCCAGGCAATGTGCAACGTGTAAAAAACCTTTGCAGGACTAGCACATTTTTGTTTTAAAACGGACAATTATGCAAATCTAGTCGAGTCAATTCCTTTAGAATTGCCTCCAAAAGTACAGGAACAGTTAGTAACCGATCTGATACAAATAAAAGCAATATCAAGAAGCCAGTGCTAAAATTCACTTATCCCGACACCATGGTAAACCTCTAAAAGTCACACTCAATAACAATACAGAAAAAAGAAATAAACAAATTTGTGCAGAAGATGTTTTAAAGATTGTTACAGATTTATGACTTTCAACAAATACTATGGTGGATCTAGGTGCGGTTCTTCGCACTTCTACGAAAATCTGAAAATTGTTTGACTCATATTTGAAAAAGAAAATGCGGAATCTCAATCATGCTTTGGATAGCTATTTTACTTTCAAGAAGTGTAAAGTAATTCGCACCGAAAAGAACAATTAGGAGACCTTTGCTACGGAAACATTAGTTTATTGAAGTGACATTGATGGGCTTTTGAAACTCATTAAAAATAAAAATAATATATTAAACCGATTTTAAATTTGGGTTTTACGGCGGAGGGAGATTTTTTTAAATCTATCTCTCGGTGCATGAAACGAACGCCACAGATTTTCCTACAAGGATTCTGATGCAACAACCAAGCTCAAGGACATTGGTGTTAAAAAGTTATTTATACTGAAAATAATTGCTAATACATTGCATTACATGCACTAATGCAAGAATTTGTTCACGGATGCCCTGCGTTTGCAGAAAATGCATTTAAATCATTATTAGGAAAAGTCGACTGCTTGCGCAGATTTGACCCTTTGACGATTGGATCCGCCTTAAGGTTTGAAAAAAGCTATCGTGATTTCCATCACTCCAAAGATTTATGCAGTCTGTTTTCATGTAGAATAATTTATTTAAAAACCAATCAAGGCCTTAGCTTTTATAGTGAACAAGCTATAGAATCCGTATATGGCGATTTAAAAAAAAACATGGATAAAAAGGATTTTTTTTTTATTTTTCCCCAAATAAAATAAAATGAAATTTTTGTTAATATTTTTGAGATAATATTAACAACTTATTTTCATTGATTATTATAAAATTATATTTGTTTAGTTTTGAGTGAGCATATCACATAGTTATTCCATTATGTATACTTATGGACATTCAAATAATAATATATTTAGAAAATGTTTATTAAAAAATGTGGAAATATGAAAAAAAGTTTATAAACAATTATATAATTACTGTTTAAATATTTATTCATTTACTAAATACGAATTCACATAGGAAAAGAACCCTGAATACTTCAGCCATGTTCAATCATGTCAATAATTAACTGCCTAAAATTAAGGAACTTTTCCATATATAAACTAAAATCATTTTCGTGTTTTTTGCTTTAAATTTTGATTTCCGACGAAACGGCTCGAGCGATTTTACTATAAACGTGGATTTGGGCTTATTTTAATATATATATATATACAGTGGCGTATTTAGGGGGGGGTCCGCCGGGTCCGGACCCCCCCCGGGAGCACATATTTTATTATTTTTATTACAAAAAAAAGTTTAAAAAAAATAAAAACCTCAAGACTGTCAACGTACTTTATTATTTATTAATTATATTTAAATATAAAATCATTAAAATCAAAAATCAACTACTTACGTATTAAAGAGAAAGAGGTGGTTTGGCAACCCTGTAGGTATATAGTTCCTACCTCTTTCTCGTGTCGTTATGATCGAGGCGCGAACAGAAATTATTTCTGAGTTCTGAGAAATAGAAATATACCATGAATAGATAGCGCGTGCGTGAAAAATAGTGGCGTCTCTTTTCTTATTATAATAAAGAAAAAGATGCCGCTCTTTTTCAAGCACGCGCTATCCATTCATTATTAAAGCATAGCATAGTACATATTTAGTTAGTTTTTTTGGACCCCCCCCGGAGCTAAATCCTAAATACGCCACTGTATATATAGTATGTCTCAGTATCTTGGAATCACATGGAAAACTTTTTTATTATTAATTTTAGGAAAAAAAGTTATTCTTCATAAAAAGATCTGCATGGTGTAAAACTTAAAATGCAACACACAAATATTAATTTTTTTTTAGTCGTATACGAGGTATGTCAAAAAATATGAATTTGGCGCAAGAGTAAAGTACCTTTATATTTGACAATATCGAAAATTGTTATAAAGAAAAGTTAATCAGAACTAAAAACTACGTTCAAATATGCAATTACATCCATCCAATAGCGATACCATTACCAGCGGCACCATCTCGTGCCACCGTTAAAAACTACATGGGTTACAAAGTTCTTTTATATGTAATGCTAAACTTCAGTGTGTTTTATAACAAAGCTGTTTTTATTTTGGAGTTTCATACAGAACCTATATAATACATCCAAGTTTTCACTATTGTAATATGATGGGGCAGCGTTGCCAGATGGTCAAAATGAAATTACCGTACCTGCTTGGTAAAAATTACCGTATTTAAGAAAAAATTACCGTACATTTGAAAAATTTACATAAAATATTTAATATACCTATAAAAGCAACAAAACTATTAAACAAAATTAAAAAAAAAAATTCTTGAAAACTTAAAATAAATAAAAATTAATTTAAATAAAAAACATTTTCAAAACAACTCAAATAATAATTATAATAATATAAGTATACTTTAAAAATTTTAATACCTATATATTGGTATTAATAATTAATAATTGCTTTTGTAAAAAGGCTTACCTGTTTTCGGTGGGTCCCTGTTATTTTTTTGCAGATGGTTCATCACCGCTACTCGAATCAGACATATTTAATAACAAAACCAAAGAACAAAACACTGTAATTTTAGCGGGAATTTATAAATTTAAAACAAATGAGTTTGCGTCGGCGCTTTTAGCAAAGAGAATAGAGAGAGTATAAAATAAAGGTTAATTGTATTATTCTCTCATCAATGCCTGCATTACAGAACCCTACAGTCGGAGTGCTCCATTTATGTACTAAGAATTCCCTAGATGGCGCTATATTAATTTAAATGCACATACTTCCACATGGAAGTATGTGTTTAAATGCACATACTTCCAGTATGTGTTTAAATGTGTAGAAAAACCATAGACAAAAGACGGAAAGAACCATAGAGGTTTTTCTATGACAATAAACAAAAACACAAAAAATAAAAAATATTGTTAATAATATTATGTATAAAAATATGTCAGTTAGTAACTTTCAACCTTAATTAAGACATTAAAAATATTTTTATATTTAATTAAAAAATTTTGTATTAATTTTAATTGTCAATTTACCAAATTCTGTAATTTTAAATATGTAAATAATTTCCCATGGGCAACGCCACAATAAGTATATGCAAAAGTTTTTTACTCAAACCAAGAAAACGAATATTAGGCAACTGACCGGCAAACGGACGGAAACTGTTTATCTGGGAAATAAATAAATTTTATTTAATTTAATTTATTTATAATGGTACAAATTTTTGTTTTATTTTTTAGCCATAGAAAAAAATGCCAAAGTCTATAGCAAATCTACAAGCTAAACTTTTGGAAAAAGTGGAAAATGATTGGAGAAAACGAGTGCCTCAAAATAATACTACTTCTGAAGAACTTGAAGAACTAAATTTAACCAGAGAAAAAAACTATTATTATGTAGGTATCTAAATTTGATGCATTAAATGTACAGGGTGGTTCAATTTATATCTTTAGAATTTTACCAGCAGATCGAATATTTTTTTCTTGAGGGTTTTAAGTAAAATTAATTATTTTAAATAATTGTTTATACATAAAAAATCTGGTTTCTATCGAATTGGAAAAACGGCAGGCATTAAAAATGTTTTAAGGAGGAGTTTTGGTGTCTTTTTGTGACAAAATTTCGAGGGTTTCGGTCCGTAAGACATTGTCAATGTCAAAACTTTGGTGAAATTCTGATGATAATAACTGAACCACCCTGTATATACGCCCTGTTCTTTAATGGCGTGCTAATAATCCAGGGTGTGATTCCTTAAGTATTTCCAATTTTAGTGCGATTGTGGAAGGTGGTGGCACATGCATAGTGCGTGATTGTATTTATACTTAAACTATCTGTGAAATAGTTTTTACATATTTACATTTTATTGCTCCACGAGTGGCGTCCTTACAAATATGTCCTTTGATTATATTCATAAAAAGGAGGTTCCCCCAGGGACTTGAATTTTGCAAATACCTTTGTATGCAAAAATAGCAGCTGTTTGATTTTATGTTATTATTTTAACTATAAAACACAATCCAGAACTTATAACGGGGAGGGGGCTGCTTTTCGAGTCCCACCACCAGGTTTCTAGAGCTTTTCCAATAGTGAGGTTTAGTTGAAGGTCCATCCAAATTTTGCAGTGAGTGCCTTACTACTGCTTTAACATTCTTATGGCACCGCTTTTATTCCTAGTGTTACAACTGTTCAGTCACGGCCTATGGCAACTAAATTAGAAAAATCTACCTTTTCCTCTAGAAACTTACCATTCTTTGTTTAATATTAGATGTAGATCCGTCACATGACCTATATATTTTAAGCCTGGCTCTGATACTATCACAATGTGTTCTTATATTACAGTATTTCTATGAAGTTTGTTCTCCCTCATCTCTTGCGTAATTGTTTGATCTTTTCGACCGTAAAAAAATACACCCGTTACAACTATTCAGATCTCTGCCTTTTTCTAACACTGCGTATTTTACTTCTGTCAATTATTTTTGATGTATCGCATGAAGAAACTATATTAAGATCTTCAAAAACAGCAGAAGATATCATAGCTGCAGCTCTGTCAGCGACACCTGTTCTAATTTTGGTAATTAAATTCCTATTTGTCCAATATTTTTTCATGATTGAGAACAACTGATTGGCATTTAATTATTTCTGACGTATCTTTTACATCTGAGTTTGGATCAGAAACGTCTTGTGTGACCGGTTCTGTTTGTCTTAATTCTTTGATTTAGGTAGTTTTAACTAATATCTAATTCATAAAAAATTCTCATAACATCACAATAAGTTGGTAACATTAATTTGACCAGTTTATTTGGTGCACCAAACACCACACAAAAGGTCCTTGTTTTTGGCATCGCGAGAATAGTAATAACACAATATACGTAACAGAGGAAACAAAAACAAAAAAGCGTATCATACGAAATCGCCCGGTAACACGTACTGACTCGTAAAATAGTTATATGATCAAAGCTGGCGAAAGTAGACAAACGCACACTTTCACTATTTTCCACTTGCCTATTTAATATATAAGCTTACTATTGTGAAATTGCAATGCCCTTGGAGAAGTTTTTTTAAATTAATTGCGCATTAATTAAATAAACTTTTGCATACTGGTGAATTCTACATGAAAACTGTCTTATACGTTTTTCTTGAAAGGTTTTGGACTGGATCAACCAAATACTGCCAAATTTGGTACGCTGAATTCCAATCTGTAGTCGGTTTCATCAGGTAGTTTTTCTAAACTGCGCACCACTCAATGTGTCGCGACCAAAAAGTTCGTCCTTTTTCAAAAAGGCATAACTTTTTTGTTTCTTGAACGATTTTATTTTGGTCTGTGATGTCTGCTAACCCCATCCTCTGGCAATTCATGCTATAGATATTAAGCCCACGGTTCTTCAAGTAAATTTCCTACAGGGTGATATGTAAAACGGTGAAAAATTTCAATAAGTTCATCCAAGCCCCGTTTGAAAAAAGAAATATTTTTTCTCGTTTTTTCTTTGAAATAATGAAGAATTATGTCTTACCTTGAAAATATTTTCATATTTTTCGAATTGGAATATTAACAACGAAAATCTGATTTTTTTTACAAAAGAGTACATTTAAGGCTTTTTGATAGGCAATACACTCAGTCTTTTTAAGAACAAAAAAATAAGATGGTGAAAGATTGTTCTTTGAATAATTTTGAACAAGCGACAAGCAACAAACTTCCATTATTTTCAAAGGGGTCTAAGTAAAGACCACTTTTTCAAAACGACATTTTGGTAAAAATTTGCGAAAACTAAACCTGAACCGATATTTACGTTCGTGACATGTTTTCTTTATAATGTTGACCTCCTGATTGTGATTCAGTTGTCAAATTTAAGTTTCAGATAAAACCAAAATCACCAAGAATCAAAATTCGAAAACAATTCCCGGCTGTTAAATGACTTAATAAAATCCGAAAAAAATCATATCGTCGTTGCTAAGATTCCAATTCGAAAAACTTGAAAAACGTTTTAAGGTAACACATAATACTTCATTATTTCAAAATAAAAACGAGAAAAAAATTATTTTTTTACAAACGGGGCTTGGATGAAGTTATTGAAATTTTTCACCGTTTAACATATCACCCTGTAGGAAATTTACTTGACGAACCTTGAGCTTCATATCTATAGCATGCATTGCCAGAGGATGAGGCTAGCAGACATCACAGACCAAAATAAAATTGTTCAAGAAACAAAAAAGTTATGTCGTTTTGAAAAAGAACGAACTTTTTGGTCGCGACACATTGAGTGGTGCGCAGTTTATAAATTCCAACCCAAAAGTGGAATATCGGAATTTTATAATATATTTATTTTATATTAAATTACAAGGTATTTTGGCAGTATTATTTCATCAATTATTTCATTGAATTAATAACAATGCTCGAAAGCATTAATTCTAACGACTCTTGGACGATAGACACTTAAAAAGTTACAGTGTCGGCGTGATAATCGTCTAACATGTCGTCAATTTATTTTAATTATTGAGCTCGAAATTTATATTGCATATTGTTTATTACACATAATTGAACTCGAAAACATTTTTTTTTTAATTCTGCCGACTTGTCATGGAGTCAGAATTCCTGAAGTGTCCCGCGATTTTGCATGTTTTATAAAAATTTAAAATAAGCCATACGGATACCAATGCAACAATAATCTACACAAAAGTTTTGAAAAAATTTGGTTTGTTATGTTACTTATTTTTACCATTGAATATTTTGGCGATTTTTATTTAGAAAATTAATTACTTTTAGGTAAAATCCTGAAAATTATTGCATATGATAAGTGTTAGCCAAACTTTATACAGGGTGTCCGGAAAAAGGAGGTCAATCCGTTAACCATATATTCCTTGAGTTAAAACAATAAGACTTTCATAATACCATTTTTCAATTTAGATCTTCATGTTCGATATACAGGGCGACAAACTTTGAAATTTAAAACTGGTTTTTTTAAATAATTCGAGTAATTGATAAAATGTTAAGATCAAATTCGGTACTCTTCTTCAACATAAATAGTTACATCTTTTGAGAACAACAAAAAAAATAATTGTCAAATAATCAAAATAGGGGGGTACAGTACTCACTGACCCCCCCTATTTTTTAGTACGTGCGCAAGTGACTTCCAAACTTTATTTTTTCAAGGAATCATTTATTGGTGATTATTTTTGTCTCTTATAAAATTTTGATAAAATGATTTGTTTTAGAGATAATTTGTAAAGTATTGGTCCTTGATTGATGCCTACGCGGCGTAAGGCAATCTCATAATTTTTAAATACTCTAATCGAGTGAGCCGCTGTGGCATTACCATTTATACAATTAAGTAAAATTTTGCAATAGGTAACAATACCAAAAACTAGCCAAACATTATTTCCTTAATATAATAACAAAAAACAAAACAAAAAAGTTGCCAGTCTAAAGAAATTGCTTGATATGACCTCCATTTTTTTAAATACACATGCGAGCCCTCTTTAATAAAGAAAATCTTAGTCTTTAAAAAATATTTGGCTTTAACCTGAACTCCTCTCCTACTTGATTCATTCTCTTAAAAGATTTTCGTTCAAAATCGGAACCATATACACAAAATCTTTCAATCGCCAATTAAACAAATTTAATATCTAATTCTTTCCAAAATTTTATATTTAATATTTTTAAATTTTTTTATTATTTTAATTTTTTTATATTTAAATAATTTAATATTTCGAGGCGGTGACCGACCCAAAGGTGCTGAGCCTACAAAATCAGTACCTAATTAATCGGTCATCGCCGATAAAACTGCATATTTGCACATTGTTTAAATTATATAGTTGCTACGTCAAATGTGACGTAGCAATTATGTATAAATTATGTATAAATAGTAATTAATTTAATAAAACTTTCTCTCTTTCAACCACAACCAGCCTATCATTCACATCTACCTAACTACCCTCAACATTCCCTAAACTCTACAAGAGTTTACATGGTCCTTCGAACTCCAAAAATAATCAGTGAGCGGTAAGCAAGACCAGGGTTTTCTTTCCTGCACTCACTTACTGATTATAAAATAAGGAAACCAGGGTAACAAACCCTTAAATTCAGTGGGCGGTAAGCAAGACCAGGGGTTTCTTCCCTGCACTCACCCACTGAGGTTAGCTAAACAAGACCAAGCTCTATTAAGACGTGGGCAGTAAGCAAGACCAGGGCTTTCTTCCCTGCACTTACCCACAGACTAATAGTGCCAATTCACACCCTTCCTTCCTGCACCCACCCTTAAACTTCCCTAAATTCTACAAGAAGACATCCCACAAACTAAAATCAGCAACATCAAAACCCAGCACAATGGAGGAAACCAACAAAATAGTGGCCAAACAAGAAGAAATTGGGCAAGCCATCTCCAAGCTATTGTCAAATTCAAAAAAG